TATTTACTTTTTATTTTATTATAATATAATATGAATTTGGCCGGTTGCTTTTGGTGCAGCTCCACTTGGTTATTTGGCTGAGATCATTCCTTTTTATTTATTTATACAGTAACCTCTCCCTATCGTTTAAACATCAATTCAGCTTATCGTTTACCAAAACGAACCTTGCTGCAAACCCTACCCTCTTACCCAACATCCCAGTGACTCCTCGTGGAAGTGCAGAGGATTTCTCGGCTTTCATCAAAGCGAGTGTCACGTCAACACATTCATACCCATTCCTTTCTTGACCTGCGTTCAGGCGCGGCTGGCGCTGGTATTGCCTAATTTGAGATCACCAGTTTTTACACATTGAGGATGATTGCTAGTCCCAAGCATCGTCTATTGGTTCTCTGTGTAATTACAGCTGATCTGGCAATAACAGAGTAGCAACCGTGGGCGGTCAATCATGCTCATGCTCATGCTCATGTAGCTGCGCCTTTACCGACTGAGCTAAGGGAGGCCCCTGAAACCCTAGGTTATACACTGAGTAAATTTCGCGGTAAAAATGCCGTTATTAAGTTCAATAGAATTGGGTAACGAAGAGTTTGGTGAATTTATTTGATTATTTGATGTCACTGGTATTCCAATAAAAAATAGTTTTTTTTTAATCACGTTATTTTTACTAAGACAGTAATCCTGGCTGCGCCACTGCACCTAGGCAGTGACTCAAAATTTGATTTAATAAGAAGTGTTCAATCTCATCTTAGGTTGATGAATTCAGGTTTATTTTCTATTTAATTACAATGATTGACCCTTTCACCCTTAGGTCATTAAAGGCAGGGTATATATTCAGTCCTTGAGCGCTCTATTTTGGCCCTTAGATGCTCTGATACATGATGTATCCTCAAGCAAAAAATGAGCGCTAACCCCCTGACGATAATAGATTTTAAGGTATTGCCGAAACCGCCATTTATCCTAATTAAATTGGATCCGAAATCCAAAATTTCATCAATTTGGGTACACTGGAACTATTTTAAATAAGTACGATTACATTGGCAAAAATCACCATCTTAGCGCCCCTTGGTGGGACTTTGTATGGGAGCGTGCTGTCAACGATCAAAAATTTAAACCTTGATTTAAACATCAAGATGAATATCTACGGGATCGATAAAAATATCGTTGTTCTCAGAAAACGAAGCTCTACCAGATGATGTATAAAAATTGGAATATTTTTCGAAGTTAAACAACCCAATTTTAACTCGATTTTTATTCTAGAAGAAAATGTTGGTGATAATCTATACTGAGAATGGTGGGCGTTGGCCAGATTTGGATTTTTCCGATATAATCCTAAATAGAACCTAGATTATTTAATACTCTGGTAACCTCAAGTCCGTAACGGCGCCGGTGGTGTAGTGGTAAGCGTGATTACCTCTCACCACAGCAGGCCTGGGTTCAATCCCAGTCGGCGCCGCCGGGATGTTCTGAGGCATAACATCTCTGATCACGCCTTCTTTCGGATGGGAAGTAAAGCCGTTGGTCCCCGGTTCATGAGTTGATGGGTTGATAGGTAGGGTCCAAGTGTGGGAGCTGCCTTCCTGGCACGTCGGTAGCATTGGTGCTCAGCACGGAAAACAAGATCGACGGAAAAAAACAAACCAAAGGAAAAAAAAAAAAAACCTCAAGTCCGTGCTCTGTCACAATGTTTCATTGTGATTAATCAACACTCAAATGGGTAAAATATCAAATTTGGGGGGAATTTGTAAGAAAGGGAACTTGGAGTGTAGAGCGCACTGCCCACTGGACGTTTCTGAAGCCTGGCCAAGTGAGTGGGGTATGGGCATAGAGGTAACTCTAAGACCAGAAGGTCCCGAAGAAACGTGCTCAACTTTTTGGCTCAGTTCTGGTACTATCTTCGGTCCCAAGCCAATCGATTCACTCCTCGAAACATAGAGAAATCTACTAACCCCTCGTTTTATACGTTAGTCGATTTGTTTGGGACCAATAGGCTAGTAAAGTAGTGAGCCAATTTAAAATCTTTAGTTTCGTATTGATTGTTGGTATGGGTTTATTTGATTGAACGTCATTTCCAAGTTATATCATGTTACATTCAAACCATTGGCATTTGGTATTTGAGATAAGACAGAGATAGGATGCGAAGGGTCCGCTTAGGGGGAGCGTAACCCATGTTATGGCTTCCATTTATTAAATAGTTCAGATAGGCTAGAAATGACAGGATCAAAATCAGATTCACATCGCCAGGCCCTGCCCAAGAATAGGGGGATTGACGATGATTTGTCAAGTTTTATTTTGCATTTGCATATAACGGTAATTTTAAGTTTGCTTTTGTAATTATGAGATAAATAGTGTACCTCAATTGAAACATTGAGTTGTATAAACTTGACGAATCATACATCTAACTTAGTAATAGTTACAGTGTCGCATGATCTAACCAACACTGCCTGCAACTAATGTTGGAGGGGCCGACAAAGCTGATTACGGATCAAAACTAACATAACTCTAACACTGAAATGATCCAGAAACAAACGCTTATTCATTGCACTGTAAGTCATAAAGTAGTTTTATTTATTTTCGGTGGACATTGGCCAAAATTGTATTTTTATATATAGTCCTAAAAGGGATCTTGATTATTTAATAGTCTAATAACCTCAAGTCCACGCTCGGTCACAATTTGTATTGTGATCAATCAACACTCAATGGGTAAAGTATAAAATTTGAGATGAATTTCAAACAAAGGGAACTTGGAGTGTAGAGTGCACTGCCCGCCGGTTGATGCTGAAGTCTGGCTAAGTAAGTGGGTTAGGGTCTTTTTTTTATACAGGGGGGAATCTGCTCCCAGACTCCTGAGAAGATAACTCAGGGTGTGGGGATGGGAGAAATAGCTCTCCCAACCCACTAAACCTTACCCTGTGCTCTAGGTCCTTGCCCTCCCCGGAACCGCCCGAAAGCATTACGTCATGGGAGGGGGCCGGTTGCGCTATGGCGCATCACTAGGTGTTGTGTCCGACGTGACACTCGCTACTGCACAGTGAGCAGCTGTGCAGGGCCTTCCTCTTGTTGTTCGCTGTTCGTTGTTCGCCTGGGTTCTAGAGCAGACGTGATAGCCAGCCAACTGTCCAACAGGGCAGCTTAGGACAGATGTTACCGCTTACCAGCTGCATGTGCTAAGCACTCTAAGAACCCGGCGTCACTCCTACCTTTGCACAACGAGGGTTTGTGCAGGGCTTCTCTGCGGTAGTTCGTTTAGCCGCAATATCTCTCCCTTGGGTTCGATAATTAGCGTTTCCAGGGCACACCACGAGGAGGCGAACTACTTCATGCCCCAAGTGGGTTAGGGTCTAATTATTTCTAAATGGACAATACAGTGCAGGTGGATATTTTATTTTATACTCTCTATATTATGATCTTTGAATCAGTTTTAGGTTTTTTTTCGTTAACAGAGGCAGAACGCGGAGGGACCGTTTAGGGAAAGCATAATGTTCACACTTGAAGGGGTCAGAGCGGCTGAGCTGTTCGGTGGTAGTTTGACCTTCCTTTCAAAACCAATTTGGCTCTAGAATAATTTTAACTTGTTCTGCATTCACATGTTGCATTCATTAAAAAAAAAAAAATAGAATAGAAATGCCAAAATCTTACCGAGTAGTTCAGCTCGTAGTAGAATTTGTTGAGATCGGGTATAGTTTCTGAGTCTGTTGTTTGTGGATTCCCATATTGAAATAGCTCAGATTAGCACAGAGTAATAGTTTTATTGTCATGGAACTTTCTTTTGGAATCGTCTTTTCTTCAAACAATTCTCATTACATATTCATACTATATTAATCATGACAAGTCTTAGAAAATGTTATATGTTTGAGCCCAGTTCTAGATTAGTTTATTATTAATATCTTTTGAATTGCGGTTGCGAGAGGATACCAAATATGGGTTCTCTTTTTCACCCATAATAGTTTGGGGGGAGGGGAAAAGTGATGCGATCTGAGAGCGAATAGGGAACACAACACCATGACCTAAACGACCAACCAAGGCATGCGGCTCACACTTAACTTGTTCTATTTCTTTCTTCCTCTCATGTACCAATATTACCTGTCTGAGAACCATAATGGGAACACGGCCAGATGTTCAATAGGAAGAAGAAGAAAAAGCGGGAAAGCATGAACAAGAAAAGAAGAGATTATGCAGTCAGAAAGGATCACGTTAGTTGGAGACAGCCAATTTATACTGGACTGAAATGGTAAGTAGGATAAGAATTGTGAAAGGTGTGTGCTTGCATGATTTACCTATTTTAGAATTATCTATAATCCACATTGAAACCTCATTTCCTTCAATTACTACTCCATCGGAGCACACACATAATATTGATCACTAACCTTCATATAGTTTCAGTATTATCTACATTATTATCAAAAGGTGAGTTATAAAGTATAATTACCAGGCATAAAGATAAGTTAATGTACCAGAACCTGGACGGACAAGAGCCTACCCAGGGAAGGACCCTCAGACCCATGCGTGTCTAGACTAGGGGGTTAGACTATAGTCGCTATATTCATAGTCTGGCGGATAGAATCTCGGGAACCAATTGAGCTGTCAAATAGCGGAACCAATCGAGCAAATCACGACCAACAACAGAAAAGATCACATCAGTTATTGCGATCAAAACTTTGGAAACCCTTTTCTGGTGACTCAAGGCTTGTTTACTCAAACTAACACCATCTTTGAGTTGGGGAAAGTTTCCCCTATCCGATGATACTGGTAATTTGCGTTCGATTGGCGAGGAAAGAATAATTGACGTTTTATTTATAAAAGTTGATAGTACCTTTTCAATTGTTGGTCTACAATATATTGAAATGGTTCCGCTTTTTGATAGATCTAAATTCTATCCGCCAGACTATTAATATAGCGACTATAGGTTAGACCCTAGATAAGCCAGCTTAGCGGTTGGCACAGCCTATACACTGAACAATTACAATTACAATAATCTATACTGAGAATGAGTACAGCAATAATCCGTTGGATTTATTGATATTTATTATATAAAATCATCTTACTGCTCAAAAGATCAGCTTAGTCTACTACAAAATGGACAATAAATTATTAATACATTTAAAAGACTCAAACTAGATTCATGTTTGATTCAATAGCAGCCATTGATTTGAGATTCAATTTGCTGTGTTGTTGTGGGAATAAAATAGAGATGATTGGGACAGCACAAAAATGGGTTCCGTTTCAGTCGGCATCTAAAATGAAACAAGAATCGAATGAAAATTCTCTTACAAATCAATCCGCTGAAGTCGATCGACTCGCTTACGTATAGGTGGTGTGGTGACTAACGCATCCTTGTTGAATCGGAGAACTCCATTGATGACCACCGAAGGAGCAAGAAGACACCCTCTTGCAGCTTAATCATCGAAATTTTTGGCACCCTCCTTGATGCCGTGTTTGATCGAATCTCCAGTCTTTTTGATGAAATCGCCTACCTCTGGTGCTGAGTCATCGACGTTGAACACACCATAGTAGATCGCCACGGCGATCGCGATGGCGAACAAGATACAGCTACGTATTAGTATGCAGGAAATAGTGGAATAAATTTTGATGAGAAAACGACGTTCAGAATCTCATTTAGTGTGCTGGAAATTCTATACACATTCGCTCTAATCGCTAGGCTAGACGTTTTCCAAGCAGCTTTTCACTGAATCGCGCTTTGCCTTTGATTGAAGCAGTATGAATGCCATGCATAATTACCATACAACAATGGTGCCACAGTTACACATCTTGGAAGCAGCAGATTTCACTCACTCACGAGAAAACGAAAAAAATCAGTCGAAGATACGATCGGGAGGAAAAGCGTGACACGAGAAAGTTAACGCAATTGAACGACTAACGCAATAATACGAGCACAAAGCAACGTAATCAAGAACAAACTGAAGCTCGAGGTAGTTATCTCGAACTTTGTACTTACACTGCAGGTAGAATTTAATTAAATAAAAGCTATATCAATGGAACAGCAACGGGTGGCCGAATAAATACGATCTGTCGACGAAGCGTCAATACCACAGACTGATGTTGCATTGTCCGATCACAGGGATGGAGGAAAAAAAAAAATGCTACGGCCGCTACCCACAATATGTTTGCAGTGTTTGTGCTTTAAATTTGTACATAAAGGTTGATGACCACTACAGCTGCGTTGTCATATGATGGTACAAACTTGTATGTGACTCTCCGATACGCGAACTTTATTAAGGGGAAGTTCACCGCTCCGAAAAAATAATTAAGTTTTGATTTTTATGTAAATTATGTAAATTATTTTTAAAGAAAGTCCACGTGCAAAAAAAAATTTTGTAAGTCATCATGCCATAAAGTTGGAGGGTCCAACTTTTTTCATGATGAGATAGAAAAAAATTTACATGTCAATTTTATCTAAGGAATCGATGGAGTTTTAATCATTGATCCCATAATTTTTAAATTTTAAAAACGTGCCGAAAATTAAATTTATTTTCGTAGTGGTGAACTTCTTCTTTATTAAAACATTAGAATTTATCTATACATCGTAGAACTAGAGGCGAACCAGCCCAAGACTGAAAGTATATCTAATAAAAAAAAAAAATACATCGTAGTAAGCTAAAACAATTGGTGGGATTGTGTAAAAGACACAACCTTATGGTTGACGTAGTCCTGGGGGCAAGACAGCTGTACTCAGAGTAAATATATTTGCAGAGAGTAAATTTGAGTTACTCATATTTACTCAAAAATGATCAAAGTAGTCTCGATTTTCTAATAAAAAAATATCGTCTGACACCTTTTTTCCTAGAAGTATCTGTTCGCCCATTTCACAGATCGAATCGCTTGTTTAACAAATCGAATTGTGGACAAACGAAATGCTCCTGTGGTGGTTTGACAGCACGATGGTTTTACGGGGCTTGTCGTTCGTGTTTGGCTTGAATGCCTTTCAGTGAAGTTTGACTCATTAACGTGGATGAGTGGATGTATTTAATGGTGAATAAATATTGAAGAATATTTCAAAAAGAAGTAAACAAATTATTTACCCTTTGTGGAACCTTAACATTAATAATCATGCCATGACCAACAACCAAAAACAGTGTTTATTTCCTCAATGTTGTGCGCAGAACACAACATTTCATGACATATCAAGCGTGTAATCCCTAAAGAATGATCGAGTGATATTTCGAGTAAGCTTTCGATAAATTTATAGATAGCATAACATGCAAAAATCATATGTTACCAATAATCGGAAGGCACTGTATTCTTATCTTTTTGAAAATCGTGCAGCCTGTATGTACTCTATTATTTTTATATATTTGTATAAATTACGTTTTCATTGAGTTTCTGGAAGTTTAAAAAATACATAAACGTGAACTACATTGCTCTAAGAATTGAATTCATTGATTTAATTTAGCCTAATCCCTACCTATCGAACCACCCCAAAAGTCCCTACACAGAAATTCCAAGAAAGCACGTCAGCTTACTTTGCTTGATAGCATCGGTTTCAACATTATTTTCAATATAACAATCAGGTTGCTATGTGTATATAAGATATTGAGCAACGTGAGTTACTCAGAGTTATTCAAAATTAACTCCGGTTTTACTCATGATCGAAAGCTGTCTTGCCCCCAGACGTAGTCACTAAAATCACAAAAAATCTGCTATTTATCAATTTTATCTAGATGAACGCGTCGGACGGTACTAATGCATATTTTTGGTTGCTATTGAAAATTTAGTCGATGTATGGGCCCAAATTAGGGGCATTTAGGCCGACATTAAATCCCCTATATAGATTTTTCAAAAGTTTTTTTTATGAAAAATTGGAAAAGTATTGTCTAGGCACATTCTTAGAGTTATTGCCTGTCGATTGGTGTATTTGGATTTTAATTTCATCCATAAATGACAAAGTTATAAGCGTTCAAAACATAACACCTTTTCGTGTCGGTCGCTATTTCAGGTTTTCGAGTAACCTCCTGTACCTTTCCGTAAGCCCGTAGTCTGAGTACAAAGTTAATCAATGTTTTTGTATCGATTTAACCTAATAAAAAAAATTATTCACTAAAGAAAATATATTTTTTTTAATGGTTCCCGTTTCTACAATTGTAATAAATCATTGAATCATTAAAAAATAAACAGTTTCAAGAAATACAGCATCGATTAATTCTGATACTCCCCACGAACACACGGTTACAATTTCCTCTATAGAAATGAATTCACTCCATGAATGGGAATTTTTTTTTTTTTAATGCGAACTCCAATACAGTGAAACGTGTTTCTATTATTATTTACGTTACGCGACGCGACACCTTCACTGCTGCTGGAATTCGAGTCCCAACGGAGGGCTTCTATAGTGCGGGCGTTTGTTTTGCTTCCTCGTTGCAATAATACTGCTTATGTGGCTATGTGTCTATGGATCTACCTGGCGGGACTTTTTCATATTTTTTGGGTGTCATCATCTGAAAATAAATATCGTTGCGTTGCTTTCGAACTTGTAAAAAAAGAACCGGATCCTTTGAATTGGGGACACATTAGAAAGTCTTTTGCATTACTCTTAATCTTAAGAATGGAATTCTGACATCAAGCTTCAAGGCTTGAAAAAACTTATATAAAAATAGATTGCATCGCCGCTGCCGAAAAAAAAAAATCTACAACGGAAACCATGGAAACTGCTGAATCGGCTTTGTTGAGTACCTACTACATTGGATTGGTGAATATGTGCGTTTTTAGAATTAACGCTTTGTGTGCGTGTTAGGTAAATTTTGCGTTTCGTTTTATATAAGCATTGTTTACATCGGTACACAAAGGGTTCTTGCCGGTTAGTCGAAACTTTAGGTTAATACTTATTTGTGTGCGTGTAGAATCTAGGGCAAGATGGTAAGCATCAACTGAGAGGTTGAGAAGTTTTGGTACATTGATTATTCAAATTTTACAAACGTTGACAAAGTGTGCTACTAATATTTGACCATGCATCAGAATCCTGGTCCAAAACTTTTAATGTTTCTAATCTCAGTTACCAGAAACTAGTACCATAAAACGGGGTGAAGTTGATCACTTCACCGTTCAATTTTCGTTTCTCAACAATTCTTTTTCATGATATTTTTATAAGATGATTTGTTTAGTATTTTATTAAGTAGTTTAAAATTGTACTTTTGAAACGTTTTCTCAAACAAACAATGCATTCTACCACTCTGAAAGTATTTTTCGTGGAAGTGATAAAATATGCAACTTTTAACTGTTCATAACAACCTATCAGAATCATCATTTATTCTGGTGCTTGTCCGGCGAAATAACTGTTTTTTTTAACTTTATTTTAGGTCGCTGAATCCGCTGAATAGGCAATAAACACCAGTTTTTCATATCAAAACATTGTTATGATACGAAACCGTTCATTTTACCAAAGTATTTAGCCTATATATGTATGTATGTATGTATGTATGTATATACAATCCAACTTCCACTGTCCGGCAGTGTTTTTATGGAAGAAAAATGTTAGCAATATAATCTATTATTATCTTATACTGATCCCATTGCAAACAATTTTAGCCCGGAAGTTGAAAGGTGATAGCTCTGTTGAGATTCAGTAACCCATTTCAGAATGCCTGGTCACTCACGTCCATTCCGAGATTACTTTCACTTACAACAAGCCCCGCACACACGTAGTACCGATATGAAATGTATATTGGTACTGCGTATACACTTCCATCATCAAAGCAATTCCTGCTTTGTAGATGGCACGTATTTAGGGTTAACTACCCTTTTTCCGGCCTATTAAGCACAACTCGCACTTAGTGTTTCTTAATCTAGCGCATTTTAACACCAAACGGAATGTTGTTATTACTGATGGCTTCCAAATTTATTTACCTTCCCGTACGCACCGTAAGATTTGATAAAAAGAAACCAATCGTTGAGATACTGTCAAAAGTATAACACTGCTTCTTGACGCCAAACTCGGCCTACGGATTCTAAACTCGGCCTAACGCATTGAAACACCAATGAAACGAAAATGAATTTACTTCGGCCTGTCGGATGAAGATAAAAATTGATTTGGTCGGAGCCAGTGATGGAAAAGTTCACAAAAACTCACTATGACTCGCGAACTTTTCCCTTGGTGAACTTCATGAAATATCGTGAACTTTTCCAACACTGGTCGGAGCGCTTCTTTTGTTTTTGGGAATAATGGGTGCAAACCTTCATATAACGCGTTCTCATTGACTTCGTTCCGTAGCTTATTAACTAAAGTATCGTACCAAACGCAGAATTGACTTGTTTACTCTGAAATCATGGATTTGTTTGATGTTTTCTGCTCGATAGGCCCAAAATGGGCGATTAGGCCGAAGTAGTTCTCTGCCCTAGTAGGATGCATTTCATATTTTTATATCTAGTTGTAATCAGTTAGATCTCACCGCTTAGGTATTGTGTCCTTGCTGCTGAATCTTTGTCATCTCGATGCTCGATGAGTCCTGTTGAATAATCGGCATCTGTAGTGGAATACTCTTCTCTCTTTTTCTCTATGACTCTTCGAAGTTTTTAGTATCTCTTCTTGAATATTGTAACCTGTAATAAACATATTTGTAGTCAAACTGAATATGTTTTTAATTTATGGTACTCTATTTGTTCAATGTTTTTCTTTGTTGATTAAATATATTTTATTCTGGTGTTACTTGCTGTTATGTCGCTTCTTATTTGTTTATTCCATTTAATCTTCTCCAAAAAATTATCCAGAAATAACAAACCTGTTTTCTCCTCCTTTATTAACAGCTTTTGTCTTTCTTTTAATGCTTCTCTTATTTTATTTTTAGTTTTTGAGATTCTCTAGTCTTGTACATCTGATTCTGACTCTTCTTCGCTTCCTATAGTTTTATACAATTCCTCTGCCTGTTTTTTTTAATTTCTCCTTGTCCTTATCCAACTCTAATCATTGTTCTTCTGTTATCTCAGGTAATTTCTCCTTATCTTCTGTTAAACTGTCATTCCATGTTTTTGCGGGCCTACCTCTTTTTTCCAAGAATTTTTTTAGTGGATGTCCTTTTGGTCTTCTCT